TAAGTACTACATACTAACAATACACACGTGACGCACTTTATATATACATATAATGTTGCAAAAGAAATGTCTTTGATTTAAAATAAAATCCAAAAGAGCGTTATTTATTGACTGCCCTAAGTAGAATTTTCAGTACAAAGAAAGCACGTTCCAAATTATATTTTCCTATCAATTTGTTATGCACTCGAAGCTGTATCAATTGTCATGTCCAGTCTTTTCTTTAGCTCGACATTACTCCTTGAAATGTCACCGAACATAAATTCCAAAATGACAGAGCAAAGATCAGCTTTTTTCTAATCGAAATGTTTCCTCTGTTTGGAATTAAACGACGTGAGATTATAGAGAATGATGTGGCCCACAAAATAGGAAAACAACAATACCTCTTGAAAGACTAATTATATTGGAAAAATCCGTACCATTTACTCGTGTTTAGATTATAAGAAAAGGATTATTTCCTATGTAACTCAAAACAATGTAGAATTTCCAAGCACACCTTCTTCTAAAGAAATACTTTAGAAAGACAGAGCACCTAAAAAAACTTCTTTTTTACTGTTACACTAATAAAAACGCTTAAACATACATAGAGAGACAACCTAACATCGCATTCTTGTAAATCACTCTTGACGATATTGATCCGAATACAACTGATAATAGGCTCATCATAGAATAATGGATTCTAGTTGTACCTTCTTATTTTCCCGAAATCTCTCTACTCGGCTGCAACACCGTGAAAATGTATTTTTAAGTTTTAAATGACTTTTAAATATGAAGCTGAATCAGTCTATGTTTTTGCTTAGAGAACTGATTAAATACGTAAGAAAAGGATCATAAGAACTTATGGAAACAAACAACGTTCTCTTATTCCTTTCAATATTAGAAAGCGATCACTGAGAAAATCGAGTTTGGCGAAGGAATACATTAATCGTTCTTTTTCTTTTTCCACTTACAGAAGTATATCAACGTCTTGAGGGTAGAATTAGCTGTTATTGTATTATATTCTAAGGGAACTCTGAATTTAGTCCAATTATTCTAAAACCTGCAGTGCATCTCTCTGAAGTTTCAAATTCTTCGCAACTAGTTTCTCAAGAAAAATTAATGTAAAATCTTTAAATGTCAATTTCAGTTCTTCGTGTGAATAGTTAGCTATTACTGATGGCAAATTGGACGGTGGAACAGGTTTTAGACTGGCTAATATTAAATGATTTTGATAAACATGTAAAACTATTTAAAGGTAAAGGAACATTTGTTCCTGTCCAACATTGAAGTAGGTTCTTTATTTTCAGACGAAAACATAGATGGTACTGCGTTATTTGGATTAAATGACGAAGAAATTGAACAACTATTACTCACAACTCGAGAAGATGGTACAATGAGAAAACCAACAATTGGTGCAAAAGCTCGATTTCGAACAAAATTACAAGAATGGAAATCAGAACAACAACAACAGCAGCTAGAGACGGAACGACTGCAGCAAATACCACAACAGCCGCAACTAGATCGAACGGAACAGTCAGAAAAAATACAACAACAGTCACAGGAATCAAAAGAAAAGTCAAAAAAAAGGAAAAAGAGCATGTAAGGTAGACTAACGCTAATCGTTTAGAGAAAGCGAGCTGTTTCACTCAGTAGGACATCGACCATAACTTTCGACGAATTTCCTTATGTTCTTATGCATAATTCCTCTTCGCTGAGAAGTGAAATTTTTGAAGTTTTTTCTTTAACTGCGTAGAGGACTCTAAATGTTCATACTTATGTACATTCGGATAGATTTAAAGATTATGCATGCCCCAATACCAATCATTATTGACGATATTGTACAATATTACTGGGCATCCAATTATATTGGGTCTCAATATTATTGTATACCCAATATATTGGAATCAATAATAATTGATCACCCATAATACTGTACAATAATATTCCACAATACACAATACACATATATCCCCATCGAGCTATACACCCCAACTGAGATATAAAAATGTATTGCGATCGAGATTAGGCATGCATCGATTAATAACCGATGTTAGGGTGTTCAGCAAAGTCGTTCCGCAGCAGTTATAAAAATGCACTTAGAGCTGCCGAATGACTCATTTTGTAGAAAAATGTTTGCTCTGCTAAACCGAAGGACAGGAAGGAATTTTAGTATTACCTGTGACAGAAATATAAGCATCCAAAACTGCGCAAAATTACTAAAAAACAATCGATAAAAATAATCGACTGTCGATTATTTTTCTGCGATTTTAGTGCGTTTTCGATTTATCATATTTTCTCTATACATAATCTTAAAATTTTTCTATTACTCCAGCTTGGTAGAGCTAACGTTTTTCTACAAAATGAATCATTCGGCAGCTTCAAGTGCTTTTTTATAACTGATGCGGAACGACTGTGCTGAATGCCCTAACAGCGATTATAAATCGGTACGTGTCTGATAGGGTTATATTCTGATTCAAATGGGATATAGGGCATGCATGTGTACTGTAAAAGTAGGAAAAAATATCTCTAGGGACGATAATTAAGTTTTTTCCAGAAGGAAAGCTTTCGTGAGGGGATATCATAGAGAAGTATATAGTATTTCGTTTTTCAGAAAATGTTCAGCGAAAGAGTTTTCTACCGTGTTTTTGGTAATCGAACGCTTGTTTTGGATGGCAGTACGGGCTGGCGCAATCGGTTAAGATACTCTGACTGGCTCAGTTTGTAGAGAATATCGAGGACTATCGAACAGTGTATTATAATATGTAATTTTTTTTTGTGGGGAAAAAACATGACTGAAAGAGGGCTCTACTGGCGTTTTCGCCACTCGAACGTTTCTTTTGTATGTCTGTGATGACTGGCTGAAGCAGCCAAGATATTCTGACTAGCTCAGTTTATGGAAAATTCCAAGGGCTATCGATTCATGTATTTGAGAAGTATGATGAAGGTATCGTCTACTGATCATGTAGGACTTGTTTTGAGGTCGCTGATGGGTACGGTATTGTGGAGAAATTAAGGAAGTTTAGCAAACAAATGTATCTGTTTTCATCTGTTATGGAATTGCGTGGCGTTTTTCGTTGATGGGAACCCATTTTTACTCGGGCAAGAGAGTGCGCCGATTTCTGACCTTATACGTTCCCGTCCTTTGGCGCTGAAATTCATTTAAGCCGGCGTTGCGGACGTGACAGAGTACGAAATCGACTAGAAATAGAAGCGACTAGTAATAGAAACATTCTCTGAAATTCTTAAGAGCAAAGAAACTAGTTTCGAGCCGCTATTCGCTAACCACTTTATAATTAATTAATTAATCAGCTAATTAGTTTTAATTAATTATAGTTTTAGAGAGCAAAGTCTTCTTCATATATTCACATAATAAAGAGTTATCCCCAAAATAAGAGTAGGGAGAAATTCAGGATGAACAAACGGTAGTCATGTCCACTTTACGCTGGTTTTGCCCATATACACATATTTGATCTAGATTACATATTAGTTTTTTCACTTCTCAGCGAATTGCCTTTCTTACGAATTGTTGGGTTAATGTGTCCCTTTTTTTCTGCTTCAGCTCAAGACCATCTGATCAGCCATCATTTGTCGCGACTCCTAGAATTCGATCATCGGCTGTAACCGCTTCGCCAACGGCCAAAAGGATTGACACATCTCGGATCCTTACTTCTACTACTACTGCTGTGGTATCCAGTGGTGAGACCGTTCCTTCAACAAATAATACAATTGAACCTGAAATCCCGAATATGTCTAAAACGTTCTTTATTGAACCAATGCAAACGATGTTGAATTTTTTTAAAAATCCATCATTTTGTTTAAAATTGAAAAAATACTTATCAAAAACTTATAAAATAAACTGTCAAATACCCGCAATAGAAGAACAAGATAAGGAAGTTGGGTTACATTTAAAGTTAAGTGGTAATGTGAAACAGGATGTAAAAAGTACCCGTGAATATTTGAAACAACTAATTGAGTCAGTGCAGACAAAAACGTATAACGACGAGAAAAAACATGAAAAAAGTAAGTATAGTAAATCGATTTATTTCTCCTATCGAAATTTCGAGTATTTATTGAACCAAAATTGCTTTTTTACCAATATAGCTACCTTAGGGAAGCCGTCAAAATTATGATCGGAACAAACGTAACAATCGTAACAGTTGTAGAATGTAAATAGCTTCTCTTTGATGTTTGTATAAAAGAGAAAATATATAAAATCTATGTTTTCTTCTAAATTTTTGTTCATTAACTCTTATATAGAATACATCAAAGTACCTATTAACTGTGCTAATTAATTATAGGTAATATGTATATTCTATTTAGCCTTATCACTGCTAATATTGTCTTAAACAAACAGTAAGAATGATTTTTCACTACCGGTGTCATAGCTATGACACCGGTAGTGAAAAATCATTCTTACTGTTTGTTTAAGACAATATTAGCAGTGATAAGGCTAAATAGAATATACATATTACCTATAATTAATTAGCACAGTTAATAGGTACTTTGATGTATTCTATATAAGAGTTAATGAACAAAAATTTAGAAGAAAACATAGATTTTATATATTTTCTCTTTTATACAAACATCAAAGAGAAGCTATTTACATTCTACAACTGTTACGATTGTTACGTTTGTTCCGATCATAATTTTGACGGCTTCCCTAAGGTAGCTATATTGGTAAAAAAGCAATTTTGGTTCAATAAATACTCGAAATTTCGATAGGAGAAATAAATCGATTTACTATACTTACTTTTTTCATGTTTTTTCTCGTCGTTATACGTTTTTGTCTGCACTGACTCAATTAGTTGTTTCAAATATTCACGGGTACTTTTTACATCCTGTTTCACATTACCACTTAACTTTAAATGTAACCCAACTTCCTTATCTTGTTCTTCTATTGCGGGTATTTGACAGTTTATTTTATAAGTTTTTGATAAGTATTTTTTCAATTTTAAACAAAATGATGGATTTTTAAAAAAATTCAACATCGTTTGCATTGGTTCAATAAAGAACGTTTTAGACATATTCGGGATTTCAGGTTCAATTGTATTATTTGTTGAAGGAACGGTCTCACCACTGGATACCACAGCAGTAGTAGTAGAAGTAAGGATCCGAGATGTGTCAATCCTTTTGGCCGTTGGCGAAGCGGTTACAGCCGATGATCGAATTCTAGGAGTCGCGACAAATGATGGCTGATCAGATGGTCTTGAGCTGAAGCAGAAAAAAAGGGACACATTAACCCAACAATTCGTAAGAAAGGCAATTCGCTGAGAAGTGAAAAAACTAATATGTAATCTAGATCAAATATGTGTATATGGGCAAAACCAGCGTAAAGTGGACATGACTACCGTTTGTTCATCCTGAATTTCTCCCTACTCTTATTTTGGGGATAACTCTTTATTATGTGAATATATGAAGAAGACTTTGCTCTCTAAAACTATAATTAATTAAAACTAATTAGCTGATTAATTAATTAATTATAAAGTGGTTAGCGAATAGCGGCTCGAAACTAGTTTCTTTGCTCTTAAGAATTTCAGAGAATGTTTCTATTACTAGTCGCTTCTATTTCTAGTCGATTTCGTACTCTGTCACGTCCGCAACGCCGGCTTAAATGAATTTCAGCGCCAAAGGACGGGAACGTATAAGGTCAGAAATCGGCGCACTCTCTTGCCCGAGTAAAAATGGGTTCCCATCAACGAAAAACGCCACGCAATTCCATAACAGATGAAAACAGATACATTTGTTTGCTAAACTTCCTTAATTTCTCCACAATACCGTACCCATCAGCGACCTCAAAACAAGTCCTACATGATCAGTAGACGATACCTTCATCATACTTCTCAAATACATGAATCGATAGCCCTTGGAATTTTCCATAAACTGAGCTAGTCAGAATATCTTGGCTGCTTCAGCCAGTCATCACAGACATACAAAAGAAACGTTCGAGTGGCGAAAACGCCAGTAGAGCCCTCTTTCAGTCATGTTTTTTCCCCACAAAAAAAAATTACATATTATAATACACTGTTCGATAGTCCTCGATATTCTCTACAAACTGAGCCAGTCAGAGTATCTTAACCGATTGCGCCAGCCCGTACTGCCATCCAAAACAAGCGTTCGATTACCAAAAACACGGTAGAAAACTCTTTCGCTGAACATTTTCTGAAAAACGAAATACTATATACTTCTCTATGATATCCCCTCACGAAAGCTTTCCTTCTGGAAAAAACTTAATTATCGTCCCTAGAGATATTTTTTCCTACTTTTACAGTACACATGCATGCCCTATATCCCATTTGAATCAGAATATAACCCTATCAGACACGTACCGATTTATAATCGCTGTTAGGGCATTCAGCACAGTCGTTCCGCATCAGTTATAAAAAAGCACTTGAAGCTGCCGAATGATTCATTTTGTAGAAAAACGTTAGCTCTACCAAGCTGGAGTAATAGAAAAATTTTAAGATTATGTATAGAGAAAATATGATAAATCGAAAACGCACTAAAATCGCAGAAAAATAATCGACAGTCGATTATTTTTATCGATTGTTTTTTAGTAATTTTGCGCAGTTTTGGATGCTTATATTTCTGTCACAGGTAATACTAAAATTCCTTCCTGTCCTTCGGTTTAGCAGAGCAAACATTTTTCTACAAAATGAGTCATTCGGCAGCTCTAAGTGCATTTTTATAACTGCTGCGGAACGACTTTGCTGAACACCCTAACATCGGTTATTAATCGATGCATGCCTAATCTCGATCGCAATACATTTTTATATCTCAGTTGGGGTGTATAGCTCGATGGGGATATATGTGTATTGTGTATTGTGGAATATTATTGTACAGTATTATGGGTGATCAATTATTATTGATTCCAATATATTGGGTATACAATAATATTGAGACCCAATATAATTGGATGCCCAGTAATATTGTACAATATCGTCAATAATGATTGGTATTGGGGCATGCATAATCTTTAAATCTATCCGAATGTACATAAGTATGAACATTTAGAGTCCTCTACGCAGTTAAAGAAAAAACTTCAAAAATTTCACTTCTCAGCGAAGAGGAATTATGCATAAGAACATAAGGAAATTCGTCGAAAGTTATGGTCGATGTCCTACTGAGTGAAACAGCTCGCTTTCTCTAAACGATTAGCGTTAGTCTACCTTACATGCTCTTTTTCCTTTTTTTTGACTTTTCTTTTGATTCCTGTGACTGTTGTTGTATTTTTTCTGACTGTTCCGTTCGATCTAGTTGCGGCTGTTGTGGTATTTGCTGCAGTCGTTCCGTCTCTAGCTGCTGTTGTTGTTGTTCTGATTTCCATTCTTGTAATTTTGTTCGAAATCGAGCTTTTGCACCAATTGTTGGTTTTCTCATTGTACCATCTTCTCGAGTTGTGAGTAATAGTTGTTCAATTTCTTCGTCATTTAATCCAAATAACGCAGTACCATCTATGTTTTCGTCTGAAAATAAAGAACCTACTTCAATGTTGGACAGGAACAAATGTTCCTTTACCTTTAAATAGTTTTACATGTTTATCAAAATCATTTAATATTAGCCAGTCTAAAACCTGTTCCACCGTCCAATTTGCCATCAGTAATAGCTAACTATTCACACGAAGAACTGAAATTGACATTTAAAGATTTTACATTAATTTTTCTTGAGAAACTAGTTGCGAAGAATTTGAAACTTCAGAGAGATGCACTGCAGGTTTTAGAATAATTGGACTAAATTCAGAGTTCCCTTAGAATATAATACAATAACAGCTAATTCTACCCTCAAGACGTTGATATACTTCTGTAAGTGGAAAAAGAAAAAGAACGATTAATGTATTCCTTCGCCAAACTCGATTTTCTCAGTGATCGCTTTCTAATATTGAAAGGAATAAGAGAACGTTGTTTGTTTCCATAAGTTCTTATGATCCTTTTCTTACGTATTTAATCAGTTCTCTAAGCAAAAACATAGACTGATTCAGCTTCATATTTAAAAGTCATTTAAAACTTAAAAATACATTTTCACGGTGTTGCAGCCGAGTAGAGAGATTTCGGGAAAATAAGAAGGTACAACTAGAATCCATTATTCTATGATGAGCCTATTATCAGTTGTATTCGGATCAATATCGTCAAGAGTGATTTACAAGAATGCGATGTTAGGTTGTCTCTCTATGTATGTTTAAGCGTTTTTATTAGTGTAACAGTAAAAAAGAAGTTTTTTTAGGTGCTCTGTCTTTCTAAAGTATTTCTTTAGAAGAAGGTGTGCTTGGAAATTCTACATTGTTTTGAGTTACATAGGAAATAATCCTTTTCTTATAATCTAAACACGAGTAAATGGTACGGATTTTTCCAATATAATTAGTCTTTCAAGAGGTATTGTTGTTTTCCTATTTTGTGGGCCACATCATTCTCTATAATCTCACGTCGTTTAATTCCAAACAGAGGAAACATTTCGATTAGAAAAAAGCTGATCTTTGCTCTGTCATTTTGGAATTTATGTTCGGTGACATTTCAAGGAGTAATGTCGAGCTAAAGAAAAGACTGGACATGACAATTGATACAGCTTCGAGTGCATAACAAATTGATAGGAAAATATAATTTGGAACGTGCTTTCTTTGTACTGAAAATTCTACTTAGGGCAGTCAATAAATAACGCTCTTTTGGATTTTATTTTAAATCAAAGACATTTCTTTTGCAACATTATATGTATATATAAAGTGCGTCACGTGTGTATTGTTAGTATGTAGTACTTA